TTGCTGAAATCGTGCAAATAAAGCACTTAACAATATTAACGATAATGTAAGAAATTAATAAAGCAAGCTTAGAATAAACATTCAGAAATTACGGCACTTGGGAAAAAGAGACTAAGATGGGTTGAAGGTCCTACCTCAGAAGAAGTCGATGTTTGAAATATTAAAAATTAAGTTGACAAATGAGCCTGTAAATTTAAGTCCCAAAACAAAGCCCTGCACCCAGCCTGCTCCTCCCATGCCTGTAGGGCAGTATTGTCCTCAGTGGAGGCAGCAGAACCTTGATCCTCAGCTCCCTGTTCCAGTGCTGGAAATATTAAAATTTTGTCACAAGTTCTACAAAAATCTCAAAGCTTCCTGATATCTTCAAATCAGCAGAATACAGGAGAACCTAAGTTTCCATTGAAAAGGTAACAGTTTTTCTAGTGAAAACTATGAAAATGTGATCTGTTATAAATTACAGAGGTTAAGAAAATATACACCAAGTAAGAAGGCAAATACTATGAACACCTCCAGTATGTTTTAATGACATATGCTTTTAAAGGCAGTATCAGAAATCATTGTGGCAGAAATTCATGAGCTCTTAGAAATGGAAATTCTGGGTTTTCACATCAGTGGTGCCCATACTTGAGTGAGTCTGCAGCTGGCGTAGGAGGGGTTTGACATTGTGAAAGCCTTAAGTTAGAAATATTTTTCTTCAGTTTAAGTCCAGTCCTTCTCAGTTACAAAGAGGACTGGAATGAATGCAGTGTTCCTGTTACATACATGCATTAATACGCAAGCAAGGCAGAACTCTGCAGGAAGGTCCATAAAAAAGGTGAATTTTGGGCAGAACAGAAACATATGTGAGCAACCAATTGTATTTAACCATGCAGGGGAAGGGACACTAGAGATGTCCTGTTTTATTGGGTTTACAAGAGTCTCCTTGAATGCTAGGACAGATTGCCATGGGGAGCTTACAGCAAACTGCACCAAATCATTTTGTCTCACTGTGGCTGAACAGCAATACATCAAATATTTTAGGGAGTCAGTGTCAAGCAGAGTTCTAGTCCAAAAAAGTAAAAAAAAAAAAGCTTTGAGATATTTTGGCAATATCCATGGCCCATTGAGTACCAATGCCAAATTCCACTTGCCTTCCAGTTATAAGCTATTACTGCAACACCTCTAGTAAATATAGTTGTAGAGTTAAATAAGTTACAGTACAATGCTTCAAGGGAGTGGGAATTATGAAAAGGCAGTTCAGCTGGGGATTAATGCAGCGAACAGAGGGAATTAATTTAATCTAAAACAAATTAGACTCTCATTTGATTAATTTGCTAGTGGCAAAGTAAATCTGTGGAGTAGAACTGTTTAATTTCTTGTTTTTGTTCTTAAATCTTAAATAAATTAATCATGGATCACTTATGAGTCACTCTAAGGTCAAGTAAGAAAGAGCTGGCCTGCAGCCAAAATGGATGCTAAATCTGCCCCTGAGACAATACAGGGCATAAAACCACAGCACCAGATCTGAGGAGCCTTTGGTGCAAGGTGATTTTAGGGGAGTTGTTTCCATTTTAGCCCCCTCCCTTCATGGGTGTCGTTGTTGGCATATGGAAGGTGTTAAAGAAAACTGCTAATGTACGTGTCCAGCTGTCTCCTTTTAACAGTACACCTTGCTGAACCATTTAAACCTAATTAACTAACAAGGCAAACAAGACCTCAGAACCATTAGAGATGCTGGGTCATATGGTGGCTGCAGACATGTGGTATCCAGTAATTTTGAGAACACTTTGTGGGCTGCAAACATGGATGCAAAGTCCTTGTATAAAGACCTCGTCTGAAGTCTTAAATAATGAAATCGAACCAATATTCTACATTGCACTTCAAAATCTGGGAAAATCTATTCCAGGAGAGAATGAGGCATCTGGTATGAAAATTGTCATGCCAAGTTTCAGCTCAGATTTTAGAAGTTCCTTTATAACCCCCTGAAACCTCAAGTTGCAGTACATTAGAACTTACCCCTAATGTAAGGGATAAGTTACCTAATTTACCAGGCTGGGAACTCAGACTGTAAGGTTAATTTGTAGTAAAAATGACATCCAGTGTAAGAGTTTCCTCTAAAATAAATCTATCTCTCAAAGGG